CATATTACGCCGGCCACACACGTTTGGAGTTAGTATGAGTAAAAATTGGAATTTCGGTCCGGGGGTGAAAAATTACGATTTTGCCCCTCGGGACGCCAGCGTTGCTTTTCGAGGCCAAATGAGGTTATTTTTCGAGGCCGACGCCATTTTTGGGTGGCCACGCATACCAGGAGTCGTTTTGGACAAAAACTGGAATTTCGAAAAAAATTGGAAAAATAATATTATTTTATTCCCGAAACTTTGCAGTCGATTTCCGAGGGCTTAAAAAGTGAATTTCGCGATTTCGAAGCCATATTATATTGGCCATGCACATATGGAACGCGTATGTGTGAAAATTGGAATTTCGCCCCGGGACCGAAAAAATGACGGTTTTGCCCCTGGGCTAATTTTTGGTCCGAATTTTTGGGATAATTTTGGGATAATTATCAGAGGTTATCAGCTGCATTATTGGGGGCCATTGACCTTTTGCCCCTCCCTTTTGGATAAGGTCGAACGAAACCGTTAGATTAGGGCGTTTTGTCAAATCGCGCGGATCGGCGACACGTGTCGCCCCTAGCCCCTAAAGTTTGACCGGTTAAGACCCTCTCTCTCTCCTCTCTCCCTCATTCTCGGCCAGCCCCCACCAGAACAGCTCTCTCTCTAATTTTTTTCTCATTTTTCTCTCCCGGCCGAGCTTCGCGGAGCCACCGCCGGCCATCGGAGCGCCCGCGACCGCCGTGCCCCGCCGTCGACCACCACAGCCCCCCAGCCCGAGCCTCGCCTCTTTCCAGCCCTTTCTCTCTCCCTTTCCCTCTATTTTTCTCTCTTTTTCTCTCCCGGTAAAGCACCGCCGCCGCGTCCGAGCCTCGCCGGAGCTCCGATCGCCGTTCGTCGCCACCCAGCCGTCCGGCTATTCGGTGCGTCGCCGTTCGTCGCCGGTCGTACGGCCGTACAGCAGCGATCCGTACGGCCGCGCGGTAAATCCACTTGCCGTCTCGCTGCCACCGTTCTGTCCGTCCGTACAGGTTCCGTGCATGCAAGTACCCCCGTGAACGACGCAGTGAATGCACCCCCACAGTGAACGATCCGCCGTGAACGGCCGCGTGAATGCACGCGCCCCCTCCCCGGGAATTCCGCCGCCGGTTTCACTTTGTTCATCGGTGATCGGCCGCCGTTCCCCATCGCCGTGGTCCAGAAATTAAGTGAGTAAAATTCCTAAACCCGGATTAGGACTGTTAGTGCATTTTTCTGGACTGGTTTAGGTATTATCGGTACAATTTGGACTGGCTTAGATAGTATCAATGTGTATTTCAGACTGGGTTGAGGACGGATTGGTAAAAATTATCATTTGGAAATTTAGTGGATTAATGAGAATTATTTGGGGAGATTAATTGGATTAAATGACCAATTTAGGAGCCCGTTGGAAAATTACCGGGTATGTCCGGGTTGACTGATTGTACGTCAATTGTGCTTAATTGTGGTTGATTTCGTACTGCTATGTCGTATGTGGTGTGGCTGATTTTATGGAGTGCGATTGGCCATTGTTTGGTTTACAATGATTTACTGATTTGTGAATCGCATGTTAGGCCACACGGTATTAATTGGGCCAATTAAGCACGTGTTGTGACATTGGGTGTCTGAATTATATTGGTGCTCGTGGTGCATTGCATTGCATAACATGGACACGCATTGCGTATGCCAAGAGTGAGGCATGTGATGAAATTGCGCGAGAATGCGTGTCTGCCATGAGCATGTGATCACCTAAAATACCCTGAAGCGTTATACGCTGGGTTCAGATAATAATGAGTTGTGTGATCACCTAAGGACCTTTGGGTCATGACCTTCGGGTCGATACCGTCCTCATGCACTTTGAAGCAGGACGATGCCCGGTACGTCCGGAAGGCGACCATCCTCATGCACTTTGAAGCAGGCTCTGGTTCGCAAGGAGATCAGTGTTGCGCCTCATGCACTTTGAAGCAGGCTAGAGACACTGGGCCAGATCGGTTGTTGCGCCTCATGCACTTTGAAGCAGGCTAGACGCACCGGGCCGTGAAAAATTGATGACTCGAGTCGTAATAAATAATAAATTGGGCGATTGCCAGTGTGCCAGTATGGGCCAGTGGGCCGGGAAATACACGTGACATGTCGACGACATTTGCATGCATGAACATGCATGGACTGGCATGCGAGTGTGTGAACCTCGGTGCATGAGCATGTGATTGGCGTACGTGTGATAATGTGTGCCACGTACGTGCCGTGATTATTATATATTGAACTGCCTAACCTGCAGGGTCGGAGGATTATTTGATTGTTGTTGCACTATGGTTTCACTTATTTATTTTCCGGTCAGGAGATTGCATGCTAGCCTAGCCTAGGTTTAGGGGTTGAACTCACTGAGATTCGTCTCACGGTTGTGTAAACCGAAACTTTTCAGACCCCCAGCCGTAAGGATGCCGAACCCGCCGCTTTTTGGAATACCTGTACAGATACACCAGTATACCAGTACATACCCCGCAGGAAATGGGGAATCCTATGTGAGATATAGATCTGTGGTATTTGTACACGTGGGAGAGTACTTTCATCAGACCCAGGAGTACATAGCCTGGTGCTTGCGAGATGCAGACGGAAACCTAGGGCAACCCCTGAGAACGTTTGATGCGCCAATCGGTCAAAATGGATTGATGGAACCCATATATGCGAATGGCGAAGTGATCAATCCTCAGGATGTTTACGATGTAGATGGCGTTGACGAGCCTATGGATGAGGAGCCACATGAGCCACAGGTGATAGCTGAAGATCAGGACCGAGATGCCGAAGAGGAGCCGGAACCCGAGCCGATGGATCAAGACTCAAGCGAAGACGGAGAAGTCGCCGAGGTAGGATCTGACGAAGAGCTGGGAGTAGACGACGAGTTAGGTCGCTACCTAGATCCAGAGTTGGAGCCGGACTCTGAAGATGAGCGAGCCCAAGTCGAAGATATGGATTCTGAACCGTCCGAGTCTTCGGAGAATCCTTCAGAGGAGCCGTCGGACGAAACTACTGGATCTTCCGACCCTGAGTGGGAACCCTAGGTATCCGGAGCCATAGCTAGTAGTGAGGGCTGGTAACTTTTTGACTGTAGCCCTCTCTTTGAGTTAGTCTGACCTCCCTAGCCACTTCCCTTTTTGACCCCGTGGCTTGTAGATCGTGTAGGCGAGGACTTATATCTTTTCCCAGTTGTGTATAGATGTCTGTAAAGAAGTTTTCTATAGCAATGTAAAGTGCAAGTATGTTCCCGCGTTGGTTGCTTGTTGGTTATCCTTGGCTCGTATTTTATAATTGTCAGGGTTGTTTTTAATTACTTCCGTGTGTGCTTGTTCTCTGTTGGGCGTTGGGTCGGCGACGCTTCCTGGGACGTCGCACTGCAATCGACCAAGGTAGGGATGTTAGCGCTTCGTAGGGTACGGGGCGTGACAGACGTGGGTTGCAGGCCCTCACCCAATGGCCGGCCACCTCCGTCAGCCCTCGACCGGTGAGCTCAATGAAGAAGAAGAAGAACGGAAAAAAAAAGAGAAAAGAAAGAAAAGAAAAGAAAAGAATAAAAGTAAAATAATCAATAAAAATAAATAAAAAAATTCGATTTTTTTTAAAATAGAAAATTATCCATGTCAGCGCCACGTAGGACGGCCGTGCAGACTAGACCGCCACGTCAACGATTTCCGGCCAAAATTAGCCGGAAGGACTAAATTAGCAATTCGTTAAAAGGTTTATGATTAAATTGACAAATAATCAATAAGTTTAGGACAAAATTGGCACGATTGAAAGATTTAGGACTGAATTGGTAACTTTTTAAAAGGTTTAGGATTGAATTGACCGCCGTACAATAGGTTTAGGACTTTTTGGACAATTTTCCCCATAGAAGTGGATGGTAAGTTACCAACAACTTATTTGAAAAAAAGATTTGTTAGTTGTTATGATATTACTGTCAATTTCGTGGGACACAAAGGAATTTCTGAATAGTGCCCACCTCGTGTTATATCTGCATAAACATTAAATCATGCTATCCGATTCTCGTTTTGCGAAATGGACGTGGTCGCTAACTCGTAGCTGAGTTTAGAAATGAGTCAAAATGTTTAGGTGATGAGAACCTTTTAAAATTCTGACCATAAGCATGGGATAGTGCCTGTGATCGAGCGTTGACTTGGTTCGAGCCCTCACATGGAACAATATTCAATTTGTATGGTTGGTTCGAGATCGATTTGACTTCCTCAATTTTATGTTTGCGTCCATGTCAAGAAACATTGGGATGTCTCTTTCCTATCATGTCCCCCTCTTCCTTATTTTACCGTGTTTCTAACACAAACGAGTGAGTCGCGACACCATGTCATCCTCTACAATGTAAGAGAAAGAGTCGTCCACATGTATAAAATGTTCACCTTGTCTGTAATACTTTCAGGACCTCATAAACTACACGTTCCTTGACTTGTTCAGATTCATTATGGTCCTTCCTGCCATCTTCGGTCTTATGCTTCATGCTTCAGGTTTTGTGGGCCACAACAGAGTGCTCTTTGTATTTGTTTAATCCCGAGACAAGGCAACATTTGCATTTATACAACAACTGATATACCATTGTATTTATCAACTTCAAATTATTATGGGAGGTTTTCTTAACATAACCGACCACCATTGTGTGACTCAATTATTTTGATTATTTTTTGATGATCTAGACCCAAACCAACGCGTGTGCCTTAACAGCTCCCATCGAATGCGTTAAGGCAAAGAAATGTCGTTTAATAGTGCCTACTGGTAAACATCATGATACATTTCCCAACAACTGTCGTTTTTCGGGCAAAGAAATGTGTAACAGTTGACGAAATCTCGACAGGACTTTTATTACAATATTCGACTCTTACAATTCCATCTCGACGGTCACACCACAGCAAAAACTTCAAATGCAAATGACAGAACAAACACCAGGAAAATAGAACTCGATCAAAGAGAAATTTATTGCTGAAACTCCAAATTAAGGAGTATATATAGACCCAAAATTCATCAAATTAATTAATCCTCCTACAGTTCTTCCTGATCTCGCCGTTGGATCCGGTGAGGGGCTTGATGTCGCCCATATTGATCATGGAGGCCACAAAGTCCTTGAAGAAGGTGCCTTGGCTTTTGGCGTAAGTCCTGACGAGTGAGTCGGTGGACCCGCCGTTGAAGAGCTGTTGGTCAGAGTGAAGGAGGCCTCGTTTCTTGACGAGGTTGACGTAGTAGTTGTTGTCGAACGATGTCGCGCTCTGGAAGTCAAGGCCGGCCAGGTTGTTATCGCCAACGCCGGTCATGCGTGGGCAGTTGCTCTTCGTCGTTCGGGCAAATGAGCTGTCGATGTTGCTCTCGTTGTAGATCCTGGCCCGGAAGTTTGTGCATCTCGCTTGCCCAATTGTGTGTGCTCCTGCGTATTTAAGAGCAAGAGAACATACAAACAAGTATTAATTAGAGTAGTTTGGATCTTATAAAATTCTAAGGGTGATGAGGGGGAACCAATTAAAGTGTAGAATTGCATTAACATTTGTGTGTTCTTTAGCAGGACCAGTGTGGATCTCATAAATTCTTGAAATGTGATCAACTAGATTTAATAGATTTGGTTTATGGAGTAGTCGCTGGTGCGAAATCATTTCCTCATGGATTTTTGCAAATTACCAAATTTTTCTCGATCGAGAGAGAGAGAGAGAGAGAGAGAGAGAGAGAGAGAGAGAGAGAGAGAGAGAGAGAGAGAGAGAGAGAGAGAGAGAGAGGAAATTCACCGTATAGTGCGACGAGGTCCTTTTGAGAAAGGCCATGATTTTGGAAGCTGGAAATGAGAGCGTTGAGGTTATTAGTTGGAGGAGGGATGCTGTTGTTAGCTGCTGCCTGGCTCGCAGTTCTCGCATCTCTCCTTCCCAGCTTGACATCCCACCCTGGCCCTCCCAGCTGCCCAAATTCATTCGCAACAAATTATTACTCATCCAAAATAATCAGAAGCTTTCGTCTCTTCTGTTCCATAGCTAGTCGAGTTCCAATGACTTACTGTCTCAACGGAGTCTCGGGAGATAATCGCCAACAAATCAGCACACGAGACGACGCCGGGGCACACTTTCTCTACCGCGGACTTAATCTTGTCCACCACATCGAACCCTCGCAGGGAATTTTTGTTCGGGGCAGCATTCTTCTCTCCGGTGAAAGTGGGCGTGTCGTCCAAGAGGTTCGATCCGTCGCAACCCTGATAAATATACCATGAACATCAATGAGGCAATGACTTTGGTTTGTATTTACTTAGCCAAACTCTTTCTTCGCTAAGAGCATTGATAGCTTTTTCAATTGTAAGAAACGTGAATGTATGAATTGGTCTTAAGTATTGGGGAATAATGTTGAGAAGTTAAAGTGGATGAGAAAGAGAAGTTACGTTGACGAAGCAATCGTGGAAGAACAAGCGGGTGAGCGAGGCACCCATGCGGGCCTCTTTGGCAATCGCTCCATGCACGATTGACTTCACCGTCGGGAAGAGTTGGGGGCAAGTTTTGGCGTAGTAGAAGATCGAAAGTTGGGCACTCGTGCCCCCAATGAGGAGCACAACGCAAGCCAAAGTCAAGATGGCCTTCGAAAATGAAGAGGACCAGGCCATTTTCAGCACGCTAATAACGAACTGTGTTGTGGGTGTGATGAAGAAATGACTCGATACGAGTGGGATTATATAGTGGGCGGTTCTCAAGGCGACAAGGGGTTCAGCAGGTGACCTAACACGTAGAGTCATTAAAGTACATGGCGATTCGACGTTCAGAAAGATGAAAAGTCTAGTTTGCTAAAGTACATGGCGAGTCATGAAAGTACATGGCGATTCGACCTAACCAATTTGGATCTTATGTCAAAGACTGATATGAGGTCACTGTTCATAGGTTTGCTAAATGACAATTCACAGTGATTTAATTTTTCTTTAGGTTTAGCTCCACCCAAGTGAGTTTGGTAGAGGAGCTGTGGTGAATAAATCTGACACAATTCAAGGTCGATGAATAGTGTAGATATTCATGTTTATGTCTCATTCTGAAGTATACGCTTCATGGAAATTTGAATGTTGACACGCACGCTTGAATATATAGAGTTTTTCGATACTCTACTTTTTGAAGTCTACCAATTAAGTCACATGATGGTTTAACATGGCCAACATAAAAACTGTCTTACTTGATCTTTCATATTCTTTAGACGTGAAATTCTTAATGCGACAACTTAAAAAAGTCTAGTTGTTTAGACAAATCAAATTAAATGACCGGCAAACCATATAGATATGTACGAAAGGACACAAATAGCATGAACCATTCATGTGTACACAGCACACAATTTAGCACGAATAAAAACTCAAGACTACCTACTATCATCGTATTAACTAAAAAGAACAATGAAAATCTGGATATTTCTAGCTAGGAAGGGGGGAAATATTACCTACACTTGATTCATAAACACTTTAAGTCACGTACACATATATATTACTACATGTGATGGATCTACGGTTGAATAGTTAATGGTCGTGCCAGCTAAAAGGTGGATGATATACACATTGTGTTCTGATGATGATGGGTGTGGTTTCCTTGGCGTGTGGACATCAACCAGCTTAGCGGGAAGGAGTGAAGCAATTAAAGATCCGTGTGGTATCAATCGTGCTCCATTCTCTCTTCATTCACTCTCTCTCTCTCTCTCTCTTATATATTTTCCTTATTTTTTTCTTTTTGATTTTCTTCACCATTTCTTTCTCGTTCGGTTCATTACATGGAGTCATTCAAATCAATTATTAATATGACTAGCGTATTGAATATCACATATGGTCTCCATCGTGCCAAAGTTTCTCGAATCCAAATGAGATGTGATGTTATTTGGTCTTAAGTCGTGGTTGCTTGAGTTAGTGGCATCTTCTAGTCCGGGTACAACCCTCCTTGAATTCCACACATTTGTAACACACTCTCTCTCTCTCTCTCTCTCTCTCTCTCTCTCTCTCTCTCTCTCTCTCTCTCTCTCTCTCTCTCTCTCTCTCTCTCTCTCTCTCTCTCTCTCTCTCTCTCTCTCTCTCTCTCTCTCTCTCTCTCTCTCTCTCTCTATATATATATATATATTATGATGTTTATAAAATATCATATCGTACATTAACGATGGAAATTAGTTTAATTCACAAAACATTTGATTATGATCCATGTGCACTTGTGGATGATGCGTAATTTTCTCAATCTAAACATGTCGCTAGAGTACTGTCACTCGAGTAAAAAGTGCATTTTGTAGATGGACTGGTTATAAAACTTAAGATGTGGAACATTTTCATGACCATCGCCAGTGAAAAATCTATCTCCGCAGATAATGCCATCGAATTTAGTTATCTATGTGCGGTTCAAAATCTATTTATGGAACAATTCATTCTCGAATGCATACATGATTAGATATTAACACCGCAAGTGAAGGTTACAATGACCCATCTAAAATAACTTTCCTTAATTTGTGTCACCCTTTCCTTCTATCTTTACCTCCCAAATGGCATAAGATCATGGTTTTGAAGAAACATTTATTTTTCTTTCTGCTAACTATTATTAAAATTCAGTGTATGATGTCGCTGATGAGCAGAGAGAAAGGTCTCCATCTTTCCAAGTTACTTCGGAGAGCATCCATTTGCATATTAAAAATTCTTCTGGGGAATGATGGACATGCTTGAAGGCTTCCTCTTGCTGAGAGACGACATTAAACAATTATACAAAGCAGAAGTGACCTGAGGAAAACCTTTGGAGAATATAGTAAAGTTCTTGACTGCTGGCATTATGTGGGTTGACAACTTCAGAGAATCTCTGATAGATCATTATGTCACCTCATACTATATGTTAAAAAAAATAAAATAGAATTAGGGTTTGGGATTTTCATGCGGCGCTTAAATTGCTAACCCAGATTGTTTAGATGAGGACCCCAGATTGGCTCCTCAATTAAGGGTTTACACGTAGGAGATTCCATAAGTATTTATCTATTTTCCTATCAAATGATAAGTGTTAACTCGAGGTCGAGGCAATATATAAGCTAAGGGCCTGCGTGTTGTTATACAATCTTACTCCCTAGGCCATCTGGGGTAGCATCCATCCGTCCATCTCTGCAGGCCGTCCTTGTTTAGAAATCCATGTAATTTATTGCCTTAGCTTGATTGATTTCAATGCTTACATATGGAGCACATCAGCATGATGTTCGAGTTTTTACACACTGATGGACACTTCCTAGCGTCATCACTAAAACCCTAGCTTCCTCTCCAAAGAATATGACAAAAAGACGTCTCAATTTCAACCATATCATGGCACGATGATAGTATCATATGAAATTATGAACGTCGAGCGATATTTGGAAAGTTACGATAGTGGATTTCAAGGTGTAATTATGATCGTTCAATTTGAGAGAAAGGGCTTCGTTGATGTAAATTGCCTTATTGGCTAGTTTTTGACTTGGTTTGTTGTTCGCTTTGATGTAAGTTTAAATGCCTAATTCAAATTGTTGCTCAAATATTTATTGACAAGAAAAGATTGTGCTACTATACCAGATGAGTGCAAAGGCAGGCTGGGCCAATTCATTGGGTCAACTGGCCTTTTCTTCATAATAACGGGCTTACTTGGTCATGATTTCAATATTGGGCCTTTTCTTCACTCACGAGCACTCGGCATGTCTTGAAATTTATACGCGTGTCATGAGATAAATGGTATTTATGCAGATTTGTTGAGCCCTAGAAGTGATTGTCAAATTTGAAATTGCATCAAGAATGTAATTACTACCGCAAGAAAGCAGCTTCAAATGCAGGCACCACACCAACCAAAAAGCCCCAAAAAAGAGAGAGAAAAAGCAAAAAAAAAAAAACAGCAAGAAGAGAAAGAGTCTTCATCAGGCAAGACATTGGGCCTCTCTCCAAATCAAAGGGCCTCAATTGACCCTCCTACAGTTCCTCCGAATCTCACCATTGGATCCGGTGAGGGACTTGACGTCGCCCATCCTTGTGATGGAGACCACGAAGTCCTTGTCGAAGGCGACCGGGCTTCTGCTGTAGAGCTTCACGAGCGAGTCGGCGGGCCCGCCGTTGAAGAGCTGTTGGTCCGAGTGAAGAAGGCCTCGTCTCTGGACAAGGTTGTAATAGCAGCTGTGGTCGAACGTTATCGGGCTACGGAAGTCGAGCGGGGCCAGATTGTCGTCGTCGATGCTGTTGACGCCGGGGCAGCCGAGCTTCCTCGTTTGGGCCAGCAGCACGTCGATGTCGGTCTCGTTGTAGACCCAGTCCCTGAAGTTTGTGCATCACGATAGTCCAACCGTGTGGGGCTCCTTGAAATGGCGCAAAAAACACGTATTGCATCGAACGAGCTCTTAATCTTATGTTTCCGATTCGAGAAAGTAGATCTTAATCGTACTCTTATGCATCGATCATGCAAGATTAATTACACTAAAATTACCAGCGAAAGCCACAAGGTCCCTGATATTGAGACCGACATTTTGGAAGGAGGAGATTAATTTCTTGAGGTCCGAAGTTGGTGGGGGGATGCTCTCATTAGCAGCAGCTTGGCTTGCACTTCTTGCATCTCTTCTTCCCAGCTTCACTGGCCACCACGGCCCTCCAAGCTATCTTGATAATCCAAGGGAACTAATTTAGAACATCGCAAATCTCTACTAATGCCATACTAACTGCTAGTTGAGTTCAGACAATTGACTATCACGACGGAGTCTCGCGCGATAATTGCCAACAAATCGGCGCATGAGATGATGCCTGGGCACACACCCTCCACGGCAGACTTAACTTGGTCGACCACTTCGAACCCTTGCACTAAATGGACGTTCGGAGCAGCATTTTTCTCTCCGGTGAAAGTAGGTGTATCGTCCAGAAGAATTGATCCGTCGCAGCCCTGATACAGCGCGACATCAAATGCGTTTTAACAGTAATATGTATTCTGTCAGCTATAGGTGTGCAGTCTGCTTGCTGAAGGGCGTTACATTATGACTTATTGTAGCTCAGGCTTTCATATTTAGTTCCTTATGATCTTGGGACAATGTACTAGACGTTGAGCTCTTGCCACTTTGAACGATGAACAACCATTTAGCCAACTTAAATCCGGAGTGCCTTAGAAGGTGGGGTTCACGTATAACAAGCGAATTTACCTATTGAAGCCGGCTAGCTAAATGGTTGCATAGAGATATGAGATGGTACCAACAAACATTGCCTTATGCTATTTGATTCATAATGACCATACTGCACAGCACTGGATCATGAAAAGAGTTACACCAAGTGAACTGGTTATAAACCATACTGCATGATGCATGCACGCACGATGTATCACACATACGAGAACGACGAGTGCAGAGTTAGAATAATGCATGTCGAAAGATTCTGAAACGCAACAAAGTCTGGAAGGGATTGAAAATTTACATTGACGAAGCAATCGTGGAAGAACAAGCGAAGCAGTGAGGCACCCATCTGAGCCTCCCTCGCTATAGCTGCTCCCACGGTTAGCCTCACCGTGGGGAAGAGGACGGGGCAAGATCTGGTGTAATAGTCGAAGGAAAGTTGCGCACTCGCGCTTGCACCGATCAAGACCCAAACGCAAGCCGAAGTCAAAACGGCCATTGAAAATGAAGCACTAGTGGTAGAAGAAGCCATTCGGTAACACTTGAAGAGATACCAAACTGATGAACCGGGTGCGAGGTGAGCTTGGTGGGCTTGGGATTTTATAGCGAGGAAGAGATGATCTTCAGGACATTTGAGTACTCTAGATTCATGATAGTGCATGCCCATTTCTTTCTTTTAATAAATGAATGAATTAAGAGATAGATCATTGAGAAAGGAATTTGGATGGTCGATCGTTTAAGCAAAACTTTTGGTGAAGTATGGCCAAATGAGGCCACAATTATATGGAGTTGGTAGATACTTCGATAGCCGTCTCTGTGAGGGGACCTAGTAATTTAATGAGACCTCCACAATAATGTCGCATCAACTACACATAAGAAGAGATTATTCATGGGATAGGTAAATCGGAGGCAGAAATTTACTTCTAAACTTGAGGAAACTTGCGGCTCTTTTTTTACCACCTCGAATTCAATTTGGAGAACCACTCAAAAGCCATCTACCCTCTGCAATTAGTGGATGTAGATTTTACTTGTTATAGGCGAATCTTTATTCTCTACATCAACAAGATGCTCTAGCAACGTAAGATGGGGCCCAAAAATAAGTTCCTAATTCGAGCAACATTAATTCCAAAGATTATAAAAGTGGATACAAGACTATGTACCTAAGATAGAGATGGCTGTTACTGATGTAGCTAATAGTCCACCTACATTCATAACAATGGACATAGTGCAAATCAATGTTCGGCTCAGAAAGGAAGGCAATAACTTCCTAGTTTTCTCAGCTGGCTAAATGATAGAGAAGTTCATATTAATATTGCAACCATACTAGCAGCTATAATTTTTTGTACAAAGATGTGTGTAATAAGTAATGGAGCATTGTTGAAAATATGTCTTGAGTTTGCGCTCGAAAAAAAGGTTTCTTAACTTTAATGTGTATAATATTTGAGTGGTTATCTAGTTTGAAAAGGTTTCCTGTTTTGGATTCACATTCTTGTCTATATAAGAAGTGGGCCTTATTTGTGAAGAGAAATCTAAGAGGAGCTTATGCTTGTAAATTACATCACGAGTTTGAAGCCGTGAAATTCTTGTGTTAAGATTTATTGTAATTCCTTTGTGAGATTGATAGATTATTTCGTTAGGAATTATGAGGGCTAAATACAAAGAGTGTTTGAGTGACTCGAGTGTGATTGTAATATCCGTTATGTCTGTTGGGAGCGCGCAATAGAAGTCCAATACCTTCACTCGGAGAGATCGCCAAGAGGTAGCCCAAGTCCAAGCCTCTTAATATATCCAGTCGAATCCATTTTCACTAAAAAGCTTAAGTTAATGAGTTATGGGTCAATTAGGATATATTAATTGTTTCGCACCACACCAATTTTCTAATATGGAAACTCTCTTACACAAATCACCCGTAGATATAAACAATTTCCCCTTCATGTCTGTTAGGTTTTGCTTTTCCTTACTTCAGGTATCCTTCTGCATTAATTAATCTCAACTTGAATCTTCAAAGCGCTTCTTCATTCCTGGGCCCATGTTGCTACACCATAACACCTATCACTCGGAAATCATTTTGGTCACTAGATTCCTTTTTTGAGATGTTCACCAAGCACCGGAACAAATTAGGGCTCCACCAATCTATCATTGGCTCTAATATCATGTGTTGTAAAATTAATGCAAAAACGCTAACGGGATCTTGCAATTAAATCAACGCGAAAACACAAGAGAAACGATATATATTGTTGATATATACCATGACAACCAAGATGCGATATATCTAGCATATAGTCCAGTTTATTACGAGCGAGCGAAGCATATTGATACTAGGTACAATTTCATTCAAGATGTCTTAGCGAAGGGTAAGGTTGTTGTGAAGAAGATCGTGACAGCAAAGTATCCGGCAGACATGATGACTAGGCTCCTTCTTTTGGCAAAGCTCAAGCTTTGTTTGGGGTCAATTAGTGTTTGTAGAGTGAGCACTTGTTGGGGCGTTGGGGAAGCTGGTATGGATGATGAACACTATGACTTGATCGTTGAAACCTAATTGGCAACCCATTTAGTTATATATCGTATAAAAAAATTTAGAGATCGACCTCGATCCCTTATAATATATATAGACACACACATATTAAAATTACATTAGGCATTATGCACTCTATAACATTGCATTTAGGACTAAACTTATCCCATTTCAAATTTTTCTTAAAAAAATAACCTGGCCGTGAAGGGGAGAGATGAGGCTTAACAAAAATTCAAAGTGTGAGCGGAATTCGGTGGATTTGGGTTAGGAATTTTAAAAAAATAAATAAAAAAAATTGAATTTTGAATTTGAAAGCGGAGCCATTTCCGTTTGAAATTCTGCATGGATTAGACGATTCCCCTTTCTTCGGATGATCAGCATCGGTAGAGCAAATTTAATCTGCTATTATATTGGGAAGTTTTTGTTGATGAAAACCTCCGTCTCTATAGATAGAGAACCGGGCAACCCACGAAAAGGAGGGGAGGCGATCGTAAAAGGGGTGCAACGTTTAGAGAAAAAGAAACAACACGGAACCTTTGCCACCTCTCTCGGTCGCTCCAGTGATTTCAAGCAATCTTATTTACTACGAGCGTTCGAAGTTCGACGCGCCGCTGCGCTTGTTGCCGCTCCTCCGCCTGCACTGCCGCAGCAGCCTCGGCAAAGCTCAGTAGCTTCGACTGAGACTCTACCGTGCCAAATCGCGCGCCACTCTCGTGCCCGTGACTCCTCTGATGAGCACTACAATTCAGGCGAATCTCCACAAAGGTTCCAGTCCTCCCGACGATCTCTAGGTGCATTGCGGTTCTACTCCAGTGGTGGTGCCACCGTGTTGTCACCTAAATTTTTGCACAAAGATCGTTTCTACGTATTTTCGAAAAAACTAGAACTTAGTTTTCCATAAAAATATTTCATGTCAAATTCTCGCATATAGATTACCTAGGCATTTAATATAGTTTTTAAATATAATTATTTTTCTTGATTTCTACTTTCCAAAAAAGAGAGAGTTGGGGCCGAGGATATGAATGTGACTAGCCAAGCCCTGGGGGTCGGATTGCAATTGAACCAGCCAGTGTGGGCCAAAATGTAATTCTCATAAGTTGGGCGACCAATTTGCAAATTTTACAAAATTGCTCAAACCCGTGAATAATAATTTTTATCATTTTGACCCCTAATTAAGGTTGAAATTGAGATTAGGCCAGGTCGCATTGATCAAATAAAGCCAAAAGGACCAAATTGAATCAAATTGGTCATTTCGGGTAAGAAGATGGCCAACTTTGACAGACTTTCTTGCAAAATCGAGCTAAGTGATGGATTAAGGCACTCAAACCAGCTGCCAGACCTCCAATCCACGATTTGGTAACAATTTGAAGCTGCTGAGCAAGCAAATTTGTGGCCCCACCACATCCTACTCGGCTGCCCAATCAGCATTATATCTGGTTGAGGTGGAAGAAAAATCACCAGGTGTGCAAATTGACTAAAATTGGCTATGGATAAGCTGATGAAGGGGCGCGAGATTCTCAACTAAATTGGCTAGCACAGCAGCGGTACAAGTTAAAGAGTTGGTGAAGCAACTCAGTTGGCATCCTTGGTGTGTGGGCAAGTAACGACTAAAAGCTGGCTTAAGCTCTCTGAAGCACGTTCTTTAAAGGCATTAAAGGTTGGAGACAAGAGGCACTTGGCAGAGGTCTCCGCTACCCCCAAAAACTACTGAAAAAAACAACTTCAACTCAGAAATTTCAGACGGACCCATTGAGAGAAAACCCGATTTTCACAAACTTTCAGCCAAAGCTAGCCAAAACCTTCAACTTGAGAGCAAAAGTACACTTGAAGATATTTCCAACCATAGGTCGCACGTCCCAAATGGAGATAGAGAAGGCCTCCTAGAGCCCCCGAAAAATACTCTCTGGGGGGGGGGGGGGTAGGGAAGAAGTTTGAAATTTTTCGAAGTGTGTGTTGGAGGGTTGGACGTGAGCGAGATTTTAAAGGTGAAAATTACCGAAAAAATCTCAAACCTATTTAAATTGTGCCAATTTAGCCTTAAACAATTTTTTTAATAATTGAATCCTAGACCTTTTGCACTTGTGCTAATTCAGTCTATTTTGACCAATTTTGGCAGTTGTCTTACATGGCGCGGCAGTGTCGATGCAAAATCTTTTAAATAATATTTTAATATTTTTCGATTTATTTATTTATTTTCCCTTCTTTTTTCTTTTCTTCTTCCCTTCCTTCTTCCTCCGGTCGGTTGCCGGACCTATCGGCCAGAGGCGAGGGCATACGAGGTCAATATTAAAATATTGCTGGTGGAATCGTTGGACTCGCCTAATTGTTGGTGGGCATGAACGATATGATCTCGAAAGAGGGCTTATTGCTGCAGGGCTTCTTCGCGGGCTCCGCATGCATGGTGAACGACGGATTGAACAGAGATGATTCCTGCTTGGCGGAGAATCAAAATTAGCATCGCAATCCGCCATCGAAAATCGCAGGAAGCGGGGAAATTGACTTGACGGTGCAGTTTCGGCAAATCAAGAGCTCGATAGGTGATGATGATGATCGAGAAAATAGGGAGCTTGGGAGGGTTCGTTTTGACAGTTCACCTTGCGAGGCCGATGTGCAATCGAAATAAAATGGCGGAGGGACGAAATGAAGAAGGCGGAGGAGAAAATTTGTGGAGGAGCTGCTTTGAAAGTCGTAGGCACAGATGCAAGAAGAAGATGATGAAGATTATTAAGGATTTTCCAAATTTTCGTCAATTTGGGAGGTGGGGGCTACACATACAAACAACCAAACACTGCTTTTCTTTAAGAAATAAAAAAATTTAAAAAATAAATAGGTCTAGTTTCAATTTTATGGAACCGGGAATCAGATTGGCACTCTCGGGAATCGCCAAAACCGACCAGTCTGGTCTGGTCTGGGTGGTTGTTGGATTGGTCGGTTCCCAGTTCGGTCGGTCCGTGTTGCTCACCCCTAATTCCGTTGGGGACTTGGTTATAAACATTAGTGGACTTAGGCCATAAAAATTGGTTGGTTGATTACTAACTTGGTTTACCTTGATTACACATGTCAAAGTCGAGTGAAAAACGAGGTTAGTTCAGTAACAATGTATTAAGTGTTTTTGTAGGTTGGGAGTTATAAGGGGTGAAGTGAATGTCAACCCCTTGGTTTGGAGGTGATGTTAAGATGTATGGAATATATGTGGAGATTATATAGAGGCGGTGTTTGCTCTCATTACAATGTATGCTTTGATTGTCTTAGCACTTCACTTTGTACACACAACTCGCGGTCAAAAATCCCCATCCGCATTAGGAAGCCATTAGGAGGTATTTTGAATGGAATCCGTGTGGGGAAATACTTGTGGTAATCCATTCTCAATTCTGTTCGCTTTTATTAGTAAAAAGTGCACCGTCTGTCTTTAGTAGCGGAAAGTAAACTCTAAATACTCATGGAAATACTCGTGTTTGCTTTGAAAATTAGGGATCGGATTCGATTCCTAATTTTTCATGCGATAAATGACTAGGTGTAATAATTAAAATTTAGATGTCAACAAAGCTCTTTCTTTTAGGCTGCACAACATCGGGAGATTTGTGTCCAGAGTTTTATATCCAATTGAGTTAAATATTTGTAAACATTTTGGGCTTGGGTGTAATCCAGGTGTGGAAAACATTTGAGTGTGTGAGTGATTTTGACTTCGATTATCCAATTATAGGGGATTATTTGCCGCTGGCTCTCCCTGTGGAGTAAGTATCGACACTCGAACCGACCACTTAAATCTTTGGTGTTCTTTATTAGTCCTCGTTCATTTTTGTGGTGATTTCGCATTGACTTAAATCGCAAAATTCGATTTTTTCCGCGTTAATTTTACAACAATGTCGCTTAATCAATAGTGAAATTCTTGGATGCTCTCCTCATCCACGTAAGTCACATTAATCAAACCATGTAAATTTGGTGTTCAATTTATTTACTTTTTTTGTTATTTCATTCTTCGATTGCTTGCTTTTCGCAACAACCTTTAAGTCAGAATTGCTCAAGAGCATGGAAACTCAGAATATCCAAACTCAAAACAGTTGACGGAATCTCGACAGGATTGTTATTACAATATTCGACTCTGACAATTCCATCTCGACACTCACACAATAGCAAAAACTTCAAATGCAAACGACAAAATGAATACCAGCTAAATAGAACTCGATCAAAGAGAAATTACATTACATAAATTCCATATTAAGGAGTATAAATGGCCCCTAATTTTATCAATAATTATTAACCCTCCTACAGTTCTTCCTGATCTGACCGTTGGATCCGGTGAGGGGCTTCATGTCGCCCATATTGATCATGGCGGCCGCAAAGTCCTTGAAGAAGGTGTCTTGGCTTTTGGCGTAAGTCCTGACGAGGGAGTCGGTGTACCCGGCGCCGTTGAAGAGCTGTTGGTCGGAGTGGAGGAGGCCTCTTTTCTTCATGAGGTTGAGGAAGTAGGTGTTGTCGAACGATGTAGCGCTCTGATAGTCGAGCCCGTCCGTGTTGTTGTCGCCGTTGCCGGTGACGCTTGGGCAGTTGCTCTGCATCACATGGGCAAATGAGCTGTCGATGTTGCTCTCGTTGTAGATCCTGGCCCGGAAGTTAATGCATCTCGCTTGCCCAACTGTGTGCGCTCCTGAGTATTTAAGGGGACACACAAATAAGAATTCAATCGAGCAATTTGGATCTTATAAAAATATCGAGAATATTGTATAGACTCGGTCTATGGGAGATGAGGGGGGAAAAACCAATTAAAATGCAGAATTTGCATGAAAACTTCTGTTCTTTAGTAGGATTTAGTGTGGATCTCATGAATTCTTGAAACTTGATTGATTATACCTAATCGATTTAGTTTGCGTGGTACTTGCTTGTAAAAAAAATCATATCTTGCTGGATTTTTGCAAATAAAGAAATGCTGTGTTTTTTTGTATGTGCCGGTTTTCCTTGTGAAACATGGAATCAATATTACAAAGAGTTTGTATGCTTTTCAAGGGTTTTAAAATTCAATATAGTGAAGATTGCTTAACAACTGCCGCAAAGCACGCCTCAGTAAAAATCATAAAATGCAAGCTAAGCTACATATCATATGGTAGAGAGAGAGAGAGAGAGAGAGAGAGAGAGAGAGAGAGAGAGAGAGAGAGAGAGAGAGAGAGAGAGAGAGAGATCACCGTATAGAGCGACGAGATCCTTTAGACAAAGGCCGTGATTCTGGAAGTTGGAAATGAGAGCGTTGAGGTTATCAGTTGGAGGAGCAAGGTTATTGTTAGCTGCTGCCTGGCTCGTAGTTGTCGCATCTCTCCTTCCCAGCTTCACATCCCACCCTGGCCCTCCCAGCTGTCCCAATTCATTCGCAACAAGTTATTACTCATGCAAAACAATCAGAAGCTTTCATCTCTACTGCTCCATCGCTAGTCGAGTTCCGATGACTTACTATCTCAACGGAGTCTCTGGAGATAATCGCCAGCAGATCAGCACACGAGACGATGCCGGGGCACACTTCCTCCACGGCGGACTTAATCTTGTCCACCACATCGAACCCTCGCAAGGAATTTTTGTTTGGGATTGCGTTCTTCTCTCCGGTGAAAGTAGGCGTGTCGTCCAAGAGGTTCGATCCGTCGCAACCCTGGTAAATAAACCATGAGTATGGGTTGGTCTTAAGTATTGGGGAAGAATGATGACAAGTTAAAGTGGATGAGAAAGAGAAGTTACGTTGACGAAGCAATCGTGGAAGAACAAGCGGAGGAGCGAGGCGCCCATACGGGCCTCTTCGGCAATCGCTTCTTGCACGATCGACTTCACCGTCGGGAAGAGTTTGGGGCAACTTTCTGCGTAATAGGAAATCGAAAGTTGAGCACTCGTGCCGCCAATAAGGAGCACAACGCAAGCCAAAGTCAAAACAGCCTTTGAAAGTGAAGAAGGCGAGGCCATTTTTTGCATGCTATTAACGAACTGCGTTGTGGGTGTGATGAAGAAAGGACTCGATACGAGTGGGATTATATAGAGAGCGGTTCTCGAGGTGACAAGCGGTGCAGCAAGTGATCTGACACGTAGACTCGTTAAAAGTGCCTAGCGATTCTAGGTTCAGAAAGATAAAAAACAGACAAGATAATCGAGATAGACAAATTCAGACGAGAATATAATATGAGGGATTAGGCACCGATGATGATGATAACCCTCCAAAGGATGTGATAATCTTGTCTAAATGGAGTTGGTGGATTGTTTGTCGAAGGTCTTCTGACAATTTCTCGTGGTCTCCACATGAAACGATAGTAATTATTCGTGGGGTTGGGAAATCGAAGTTGACTTCTAACCGGGTCAAAGTACAGCTTTTCGCAACTCACATTCCTTCAAACTTAAGAGCCGTGTACGCATTTTATTTTTGTGACTTCAATTTCTAAGAGAAGTAGATGCCTAATATATGTCAAATCATAGATCAATAAAGTTCAAATATCGACAATTTCTCCAATTTGTGATATTAACCCTCAGTTTGAGCATCTTGTTTTCATGTGTGAGGCCTATCTTTTCCGTGAGAAAAATTGTTTTAAGGTAATGGCCAATATTGATGAAGGATCACCTTAAGAGTTTAATCCTTAGATTTTTAAGAGGCTAAGCGAGCATAAACATGGTCAAATAACATATACAATTGGATAGTCAATTTCCCATATGCTTTAACGGTTGTTTTTAAGTTGTGCCCACATAAATTTTTGTAAGCTTTCCTTAAGGGTTAGTTGTATCTACACATATTGGTTTTCTCACCGAATCTCAATCGTTAACATATTTAATTATCAATTCAACGACTACCCTTATTTACAAGAAAAGTTAATTATTTGGCTGGATGCGAAAAAGAATGGAGATACGGACAGGAAACGAATATCTCTACCCACTTGTACCGATATAGCAGAGGTTGACCTTTTGTGAATACCGTTTGCTCACCAGCTTGCATCCATCCATAAAGTACAATTTCATCTACTATATGCCAGTAAAAAAATGTCTTGTATGACAGAAACATTTGATCAATGTCATTTATAGGCAATTGATTGACACATTGAACGGCATCCATCGCATGTTAAAAGTACAAGCGAAAAAACCACACTTTGATTAAGTAAAAGAGAAAGAAACGAGAAATTACATTAATCCTGTGTGAATCTCGTGTCGTGATTGATTCTATCCATTGTTCACATATGTCGTAACAAAATAAATCGACCGAGATTCGCTGAAGTTTATTTTCCAAAGCCATCTGAGAAGCTTCTTTGTTTGTCTGACTGTGATCATGAAGAGCAGAAAACGCAGTGATATGTGGGGGAGCTGTGGAAATGTTTGTGACTCCATCACCTATCTAAACATTACATAAATCGACAAGCCTTCTGCATTTTCAGTGCTTTCTCTGTCTCGATGTCATCGCGCGGAGCAGTTGAATTTAAAAATCCTGAGGCCTGTGGAGACAACATCCCTTGTCTATTTAGTATCTATTTACCGATTCTCTTTTACTATTTGACCCTCCTCATCGATCGGGAAAGGTTGTTTTGGTAGATCTTATACTAGTTTTTCATTTCACACTTCAGTATTCTTCTTTGTATTTCCTCAGCCGAAAAGTATGCTGCATGCTTCTTTGGCAAGAAAAACCAACACGTCATTTACTTGACCAAATAAAAAATTGTAAGTTCTATTCATTGGTCAATAAGGCATTTGAAGGAGTCCGTCGATCAAGGAAGCAAGCCAGTAGCAATCAAGCTAGGGAAGTTCCCACTGCGCCAGGCATGCGTAAGCACGCTGGCAAGGGTTAATCCTAAATCCGTAAGATGGATTTTCTACTCATATAATTTAGACGAACGTCATGCATGTAGTATCATAAATTGGTAAGCTATGCAAGTAAAAATTGATAAATTGGTACAAAAATCGATAATTTGCAATCTAAAAAAAGATTTGGTAAATTCATAGAAGCGGAGAAAATTGTCCAAAAAGTCCTAAACCTATTGTACGGCGGCCAATTCAGTCCTGAACCTTTCAATTTTACAAATTCAATCCTAAACCTTTTAAAAAGTTGCCAATTCAGTTCTAAACCTTTCAATCGTGCCAATTTAGTCCTAAACCTATTGACTATTTGCCAATTTAGTCATTCCGGCTAATTTTGACTGGAAATCGCTGACATAGCAGTCCAATTGGCGCGGCCATCCTACGTGGCGCTGATGTGGATAATTTTCTATTTTTTTTAATTGAATTTTTTATTGATTATTTTACTTTTTTTCTTTTCTTTTTTTTTTTCCGTTATTCTTCTTCTTCTTATTCGTTGAGCTCGCCAGCCTAGGGGCGAGGGCTCTCGACGTCCTCGCCGGTCGCAGCGAGGGTTTCGCGGCCCTCGCCCAGGCCGTCGCCAACCACAGTGAGGGCGGGCGAGGGCTCGTGATGCCCTCACTGGCCGCAATGAGGGCTCGCGAGCCCTCACCCAGATCTGGCGAGGGCCGTGACGTCCTTGCCCACGGCCGGCAAGGGCTTCGCGGCCCTTGCCCACGGCCGACGTGGGTTGCAGGCCCTCACCCAATGGCCGGCCACCTCCGCCAGCCCTCGACCGGTGAGCTCAATGAAGAAGAAGAAGAACGGAAAAAAAAAGAGAAAAGAAAGAAAAGAAAAGAAAAGAATAAAAGTAAAATAATCAATAAAAATAAATAAAAAATTCGATTTTTTTAAAATAGAAAATTATCCATGTCAGCGCCACGTAGGACGGCCGCGCAGACTAGACCGCCACGTCAACGATTTCCGGCCAAAATTAGCCGGAAGGACTAAATTAGCAATTCGTTAAAAGGTTTATGATTAAATTGACAAATAATCAATAGGTTTAGGACAAAATTGGCACGATTGAAAGATTTAGGACTGAATTGGTAACTTTTTAAAAGGTTTAGGATTGAATTGACTGCCGTACAATAGGTTTAGGACTTTTTGGACAATTTTCCCCATAGAAGTGGATGGTAAGTTACCAACAACTTATTTGAAAAAAAGATTTGTTAGTTGTTATGATATTACTGTCAATTTCGTGGGACACAAAGGAATTTCTGAATAGTGCCCACCTCGTGTAATATCTGCACAAACGTTAAATCATGCTATCCGATTCTCGTTTTGCGAAATGGACGTGGTCGCTAACTCGTAGCTGAGTTTAGAAATGAGTCAAAATGTTTAGGTGATGGGAACCTTTTAAAATTCTGACCATAAGCATGGGATAGTGCCTGTGATCGAGCGTTGACTTGGTTCGAGCCCTCACATGGAACAATATTCAATTTGTATGGTTGGTTCGAGATCGATTTGACTTCCTCAAATTTATGTTTGCGTCCATGTCAAGAAACATTGGGATGTCTCTTTCGTATCATGTCCCCCTCTTCCTTATTTTACCGTGTTTCTAACACAAACGAGTGAGTCGCGACACCATGTCATCCTCTACAATGTAAGAGAAAGAGTCGTCCACATGTATAAAATGTTCACCTTGTCTGTAATACTTTCAGGACCTCATAAACTACACATTCCTTGACTTGTCAGATTCATTATGGTCCTTCCTGCCATCTTCGGTCTTATGCTTCATGCTTCAGGTTTTGTGGGCCACAACAGAGTGCTCTTTGTATTTGTTTAATCCCGAGACAAGGCAACATTTGCATTTATACAACAACTGATATACCATTGGTTTTATCAACTTCAAATTATTATGGGAGGTTTTCTTAACATAACCGACCACCATTGTGTGACTCTATTATTTTGATTATTTTTTGATGATCTAGACCCAAACCAACGCGTGTGCCTTAACAGCTTCCATCGAAAAGATTATTCAAAAATCAATTATTCGGGATAGACATGGGATCACAAGTTGTAGCCGCCTTGAGTTTCCCTTAACTGTTGACCAATGATCATCTTATTAAAGACAAAGCATTGCTCCAGTTTCAACTAAGCTAATAAAATATTTTCGTTTGTCCAAAACATAAAATAAAATAAATATTTCGTTAGGTGAACAAATAATACAAAACTATGGGCGGAGAAAAATCCATTCTTTATCTCTCTTTATTAGTATTTTTAATTATATCCATATGTACAACTTTCCCATATACTACTTTTATAAGGGAAAATTGAGTAATCATCCTAAACCTACCGTGCGGGTGCCAATTCGGTTTTAAATTATTCAATTTTGTCATAAACTTTTATGCGAAATTCCAACGTAGTTTTTTGGATCAATTTTTATCAGAAATCGCTGATGTGATGGTTTAGTCATTGTGGATCGTCCTATGTGACACGCCGTTACATCAGCGGTTTTCAATAAAAATTGTTAGAAGCAATACCATTTAGATAAAGAAAATGTTCTAAAGAGAATTTTCAAATATAAAATAAATACAAAAAAGTCATAAACCTATTGCATTGGTATCAATTCAGTCCTAAACCTTTCAATTGGATTAATTTAGTCCTAAACCTTTTCATATTAGTACAAATTCAGTCTATCCGGCCAATTTAGGCTGGAAATTGCTGATGTGGACGTCGGCTATCCTACGTGCCACGACCGGCGCTGACATGAACAAATTTTATCAATACTTTTGGTATTTTTTTGAAATTTTAAATATATATATATTTTTTGGCTTCTTCTTTCTTGGGCCTTTGGCTAGTCTCTGGCCATGTTGCAATACCACATCGGCGGTTTGTTCGATCATTTGTCGATGTCCTAGGGCATCATGCCCTAGATATCCTTGACCAGCCTACCCCCTAGACAGAGATAATGGTCTAGCCTGATTATCAATTGATAAGTTAGGCCTATGAGGGATGTACCCCATATTTGGTGGAATTATCACACCAAATGGCCTCAAATTATTGATTTTAGGCATTGGTCCAACTGGCCTCACACTTTCAATATATGGCAAAGGCATGTTCAATTGGATTTTTTTATTCGCTAAATTGTTGTTATTATTATTATTCCCATTTGGGTTAGCCTACATAGGATTACCTTGGTTATTCCCATTAACGGGCCAGCTACATTGGTATTATTTTGGCCAGATGCTTCAGGCCTTTGTGAAGTTCTTACCGGTGGCGATGGAATTACTTGGCCTAAATTACCAACATTGTTACACTTGAGTATTGAAGGTACATACCCAGTAACCGCTGGGCTTCTTTGCATTGG